CTGGGATGTTGTCAGGTGCTACAGCCTTGCCATTTCTCAGCTGCTTGATAGGGTTTTGAATCTCCTTCTTCGTTGGTGTGCTACAGTCAATGGGTAGGTCGCTGCTGGCTGGCTGTATGTCCAGAGGGTCTGGAGGGGCAGGTCGGTTGAGCAGCTCCTCAAAATGCTTCACCCATCTCTTCTTCTGCCCCTCATAATCAGATATTGGTTGCCCATCCTTATCTTTCACCGATCTCTCTGGCTTGCTTTATTTTCCCAGTAGGTTCCTTATGGTAGCATAAAGGTCCCGCTTATTTCCGGGATAAGCTGCCTCTTGAGCCTCTGCTGCCAGCCACTTCAGATAGTTACGTTTGTCTGCCTTAAGGCTCCTTTTGACACTCCTGTTCACCCCTTTGTACTCCTCTTGCGCCTTAGCTTTTGCAGTTCGTGTTCGGTTGTTGTTAACAGCCACCTTCTTTGCTTCAATCNTCTCAGCTGCTTGATAGGGTTTTGAATCTCCTTCTTTGTTGGTGTGCTACAGTCAATGGGTAGGTCGCTGCTGGCTGGCTGTATGTCCGGAGGGTCTGGAGGGGCAGGTCGGTTGAGCAGCTCCTCAAAATGCTTCACCTATCTCTTCTTCTGCCCCTCATAATCAGATATTGGTTGCCCATCCTTATCTTTCACCGGTCTCTCTGGCTTGCTTTATTTTCCCAGTAGGTTCCTTATGGTAGCATAAAGGTCCCGCTTATTTCCATGATAAGCTGCCTCTTGAGCCTCTGCTGCCAGCCACTCCAGATAGTTGCGTTTGTCTGCCTTAAGGCTCCTTTTGACACTCCTGTTCACCCCTTTGTACTCCTCTTGCGCCTTAGCTTTTGCAGTTCGTGTTCGGTTGTTGTTAACAGCCACCTTCTTTGCTTCAATCTTCTTGCCTGTATTCTTTTCCCGAAAGCAGCCTTGGTTGGGGTTCCTCGGACCCAGCACTTCATTGCATGTCGATGTGACCGCTCCTTTCACTCTCTGCCACC